TCATACTATGTCAAAAGGTGCAAGAAATAATAAAGATTATTGCAAAAAATAAAAATAAAAATGATGGAAGCATGCGCCAAAATATTTTTTTCGTAAAACTTATGGCGACAAACTTTTATTTCCTGCAACAAAGTGTTTGTGATGCAATAGAGTCTACTTTTTGCAACAATGAATATTAGTTACTAAAAAATGTATAGATGCAAGGAAAAAGTCAGTACAAGACAGCTGCTTTTTGCAACGAGTTGCCTCTGGTCTTTCACGACGTTCACCTATATGAGATATGTTTGATACATTGAATTAGATTATGTTTTTCCTTGGTAATTTATGGTTACATCACTAAAGCATGTCATTCAAAACAAAAGAAAGGCACAAATAAGTTCTTTTGAAAACACATCCAAGATCAAAACACGATACTTTACATTCATATCAAATTTTTTATTAAAACTAACAAACTATTTACAAAGATGCAATTTGAAATGCTAATCTATCCACGACAAGTTGGGCTCTAAACAGATTAGCAAGCATGAGAACATAAGATTCCCTCCCATAATTTTTAAAAGTGGCTCTTCAAGAAATAAACTTTCAGCAAATTATAACTTTTCAATGACTCGCATCCTAAATAATCTGAGAGTTAATCATTGGCTGCTGACCTTCCAACCGCCCTATAGATGAGCCCATTTCAGTACAGCAGGGCTTCATTGCGATGCTTTTATTCCCATTGGGCTGCCCTTGCTCTGTTATATAGCATTATGAAGAAAAATCAGAATAAACCCCAATATGAATATTATAATAGTTCGTGCAAGATAACTGAGGAGGTGGGGGACGGGGTGAATGATAAAAGAAATCGTAGTAAATTTACCACGAGGCAAGTGCCGACTTCAACATTGCAGATGGGATAGTCGTGTGGGCAGCGTTGTAGTGGTCATCATGGTAGGTGGAAGACTCGAACGGGCAGCATTCCCAGCCGAAGCAAGAGCTACAAACTGGTACATGTAGAAGCATGTGATTCCCTCAGGACATGTGTAGTAATCATCACACACCGTGGGAGGTTTGACAAGAGCTGGAGTGGAAGGGCCTAGATTAAGAGGGTTCTGACCGGTCCTAAAAGGGTATCAGACCTCCAATACAATCCCGCACTTACCAGTGGTGGTATTAGCCACATTTTGGTGAAGCCTAATGTATACATTCTCTCCCCAACTTGGACCCCACGAATTCATCACAGTCGAATAATATACTTCATTGTCTGTACCATATCCAAAGGCAACAACGTGCTCTAGATCCGTTCCACAGATTCCAATGAAGACACCCTATTGGAGCAAGGATACATGAACTTGTCATTGTCATTGTCAATGCAAAGGTATAGTAAATAGGTACATGTTTTGGTACATATTACCAAAGCAGACTAGACAATATAATAAAACTAGATTTTAACTTATTTTTCTTATTCAATATTTTCTGGTCCATCCTATCAAACATATTTGGAAGTTTTTTTAGTAATGAATAAACAAATGAGCATGATTAAAGCCCTGAATAACACCTTGGCTTTTATCTATTTGGTTGACAATAATAAGAATTTTTTTTTTTTTACATATTTTGGAATCATTTATATTTGAAAAATTGTACAGTGAAGCATTCTTTTTATTAAGCCATAAGCTATTTTTAATGAAATGATTTATATGTTCAAATGAATGTGTACTACAGTAACAATTCTATTGTGATGCAAGAAGTTTAAAATTACCATTTCTGAAAGTACTATGCAAAGAATATTCATGTTGTCACAAAAAAATATTTGTTACATGTTGTGAAATAGAATACGTGATATATATAAATATATAAATAATTAAAAAATGAATTACCCAACAATTATATAGTGTTGTAGAAATGATGATGCGACAAATTCTTTTTGTTGCAATAAATATTTAACTACAAAAATAATTTTTACAAAGATGAGTGCTTAAATTGAATTCACGACATACATAAATAAATTAGGCAACAACTCTATATCATTGAAGCAACAAATTCTTTGTGTTGCAAAATAAATTCAGCTATAAACACAATCTGTCAGTGCCACAAAATAATTGCATAAGAATTTTATATATTGTAAAATAGAATACAAACCATATATAAATAATCACAAAATAAATTAGGCAACAACTATACATCGTTGCACAAATGATGGCGTGACAAACATCACGTGTTGTGAAATAAATAAAGACAAACATCACTTGTTACATAATAAATTATACTACAAATGTTGAATATCTCAAAGTAAACTATGCGACATATCAAACGTATTAAAAAACAAATTTCGCGATAAACATGATTTGTTATTAAAGATATTTTACTATGAGCATGTGTTGTTGCAAAATAGATAGATAATAAAAGTTGTACCTTTAAAATAGTATTCACAACAAGTATTTTTCTCGCAAAATTTTTATTGGAATAATCACTGCGACAAACTAACTTGTCCCCCTTTTAATTTTCGCGACATATATGCATTGCTACGACATTATAATGACAAATATCTCTTTGCAATTTTGTAGTTTCTGAGTCAAATGAATAATGTTGCGAGTTTGTTAATGCGATGAATGATTGAAGTTTGTCGCAAAAATTAATTTTGTGACTCATAGCGCGACAATGTCTACAACAAACATATTTTTGTCCCAAAATTATTTTTGCAACAAAACTCTATTTTTATGTGTGTTAGAATTTGGGTGTGACCCGAATTCCTTGTTGAAGTAATTGAAGAATTCTAATTGAAGTGCACGTCTAAATGAATTCAATTTGGAATAATATTAGAGTCTTATTCAACTTAAAATTATATTTGGAAGTCTTATTGGGAGTTTGGCTTGGAAAATGACTTTGAGACGAAGAAAACAACTTGGAGCCGAAAAAAGGACAGAACGCTCGGCGTTGCGACGTGAGCATGGGACGCCGTGACGTCGGTGCCCCTGCTTATTTTTTTGCCCGGTGCCTGGATGGTGGCGCCATGGTGTATTTAATTTCATTTTTTTCGAATTTTATGTCTTCTTCATCTAGAACTTCAAAAAGAGATTCATATATATATTCCACATTGTATCTTCATAAAAATACATATTCAACAACATCTTGAGAGGTTTTGAGAATATATGATAGTTTAGCCTGGTGATTACCAGAACTTCAAATGTATATTTTTTCATTATTATTCACGAGTCAATAAAATCTCTAAATTCACCTGCCATTTCTCGTCTTTTATTATTCTTTTGCTTATAATCATATACTTCATATTTTGTCATACAATTTCGATATTTCAATCCTGAATTACAACAAGTGGATCAGAGAAATGCATAATTCTTAACAATTGGTATCATAACAATCCCGTCAATCCTCAACAATGCAACAACAATTTTGTCGCGATTTCGATTTTTTCTTTTGTAGTGCTTTCATTTCTCCACGGGTCTAAGTATCAATCGTTGCATAATGATAGATACCCCACTGAGGCTTTCGAAGGCCATTAATAGTAGTCAATAATAGGGTTTTTGTTGGTTCGACACCGGTGTGTGGGAGGTTGTCGAGAAGCCCCTTAGTAGCCTTGATGCTGTAGATTGTCATTATGAACACCATATACATAGGTCAGACCTAAATTACATTTATTACGATTCTCAGTGCTCTATCACGAGTCTCGATGGGTAACAACTTATTCAACTTTGATCTCCTAAGTTTTGGTTGGTGACGATGGACTCACAGGCACTGGAAGGCATGCATGATCTTATCCATATTGATATTTGATTTCACATGAGTACATCATAGTGGAATTCGAGCCCACATATTAGAAGCGATAAGCTGAAATCGTGAAGAAATTCTTGAACTTCAATAATGAAATCATAATGAATACTTTTGAGTACTGTAAATCTTGTACATATATTTGATCATAGCTATCATTACTTGCTGAGCATTCGCTCATATTATTTTACATTATAGGTGTGACAGTGTATGTACTCGAGATAGTTGTTAACTCTCACGCAACGAAACAATTGTGTATTAGGTGTGTGACTGATGTTCAGTGAGTATATCACTAGGGAAATCCGAAAAACTTTATAATTGATTCTATTAAAATTATTAAATTATTGGAAATGTTAATTATAAATTATAATGCTATTTGTCGATGTCTTTCTCTCTGTATTTCAAGTAACATTGTTTTCTTTTTATTCTAAATTAAATTGTTTTTTATAATTTTGAGTTAAATTAAATATTAATGAAATAACTATTTAAACCCTCACTAAGTCACACTCATATTTTCAAAACAAGCATAAAAATCCCTTTCCATGATTGAAAAACTCACTAAATACTGCAAGGATGAAATATTGAGAATTTAATGAGACTGACAAAATTTTACGCAAAAAGCACAATTTGATCCAACGCCAAGATAAAGAGTATTGAATACAAAATATCTTTAGATATAGTTAGAGAACATCTTCGTTGTGATAAAGCTTATTTTTCAAACTAGTTTCGATCTACTTGCCGGAGGACAATGATGGAACCAAATACCCCGTCTTGCTCCCACTTTTTAAATTTTGGTTGATTTACGCTTAATTTATGTAAAACTTTTTAAATATATACATAAAACCTATATAATTTACCCTCCCAATATTTTTGACACCCTACATGAAAATCCTAATTCGCCACTACCGAAGAAGGAGAAGATTATAGCAAGAAAGAGGCAACAAAATATTTTTGACAATTTCTTCAAAAAAAAAAATTAAAATTAAAAAGGCCTTAGACCATGGGCCGACCCACTCCACACCATTTACATGGCAAGCGCTCCAAACAACTGACACATGCAGAAAGCAGAGACACATGCAGAAATAGAATAAAAACAGTTGTCATATAGGAGCTTAAATCTTCAAATTGCATAAATTCGAGTACTAGGGTTTTGTCAATTGAATTATCACATTTAGTCTTTCAATTAGGGATCTAAAAACTCAGATTGAATTGAACAACCAATAAACTGATAGAGAGGAATGGCGTGCATATACATACCGGTGCAGAACTCGGAAGAGGTGGTGCAGGTGGCGCTAGACCAGTTACCCCTTGATGCCACTGACATCATTAACATTCTGAAGGCGGAGCAAGCTCCACTTGATCTCTGGCTCACCATCGCTGTATGTTCATTTTTATATATGTGTGTGTGCTTGCATGCCTTTAGGTTCATTTAAATGTTCACTTACACCCACTCACATATGTAAGAATTTGTGTACAAATCATTTTTACTGAAGTGGGAGTTTTTTTTTTTTGCATCTTCACTTTAGATTTATATTTGTATGTATGGAAGTGTTTTAATAAAAAAATTAAATTTGTAAAAAAAAAAAAACCATTTTTATTAAGCAAAACTAATGCTCTCTCTCTCTCTTTTTTTAATGGTTTTGTGTGTTTTCATGTATATCTTATGTAAATAATTATTCTTATTTAAATTTAATGTATGATGGGGTTGGCGACTGGTGCATATTGAATTGTATCTGTTTTCATTTTTTATGAATCTCTATTTTTGGGTTCAGAGGGAGTACTTCAAACAAGGAAAACTCGAACAGTTTCGACAAATATTGGAAGAAGGGTCTAGTCCAGGTACATATTCTTAATGTTTACGTTCTTTCACATGGAAAAAAGGAATTCCATTAAATTTTGACGTAGGTTATTGTTGTGCAGAAGTTGATGAATATTTTGCAGACGTGAGATATGAGAGGATTGCCATTTTAAATGCTTTGGGAGCATATTACAGCTATCTTGGCAAAATAGAGACAAAACAAGGAGAAAAGGAAGAGCATTTCCTTACCGCTTCACACTACTATAACAAGGCTTCAAAAATTGACACACGTGAGCCTTCAACATGGATTGGGAAAGGTACGCATGTTAAGTAATTGGGCAGTTATATGGATTTAGTATGACTATCATAGAGCCTTGCATATCATTTGTTCTACTATACACATTGTTCTCGAGGTTGTCACAAGATTTTTTTATTTATTTTTGCAGACAATGCACAAAACCAAAGAATTATTTTTTGCAAATGATGATATATTGCCGCTTTTTATAACTTCAAAGATTCATCCTTAGAGCATCTACAATAAACTCTTTAAAAGCGAAATAATCTTTACTTTAAAAAGTCAAATCTTGAGATTATGTTCCTAAACCAAAAAAATAAAGACATATTTTACTCTTTAAATTTAAAGATGCTCCTTATTATGATCAAAGTGATTTTTAAAAGTAAAGAGTCTTTTAGATATGCTTTTATGCTTGATCTTTACATTGTGAATCGGATTAAGCAATTCAAAAAATGATGTTTCCTAATCATCCTAAGTTAACATTCTTTTCTTTTCTTTTTTCATGAAAAAGTCTTAATACCATTATGCTTACATGTTAGGGGTAAAATTGTTGTCTTCGTTGCATATTTTGGACATAGGTTTACTTTGTCATTGTACATGAATCCTAAACTTAAGATCTAATGATGAATATTGGCAAGAGAAATGAGTCGAGCTTGAAGTAGAATCTTGTTGGCCTGTGTGAAAATTAACTACGCTTAATACAGTTATCTTCATTAGCACTTTTTCATAAAGCAGAATTCTATGGAGGTGGAGGAAAAATTCATGACTACACTCTTAATTATAACTGTTGTCTTAGGATTTTGAAGGATGGTTAAAAGTATATTGATAATGGAAAATAAGATCAGGCTGGATTGAGTTAAGCCCATTAGCAGCTTCTTTTGCTTATTAGATTATCTTCTTACTTTTAAGAAAACAATTTTCTTCTTGTTTCACTTTTGCATACTACTATTTTGTATTTCCTCTTTGCCAGGTTTAGCATTATTAATGCTTCCGCATATTCTCTTTCACAGGTCAGCTTCTTCTGGCCAAAGGTGATATTGATCAGGCACTTAATGCTTTCAAGATTGTTCTGGACGAAGATGGTGATAATGTTCCTGCTCTCCTTGGTCAGGTATGTTCACATTTATTCTCTTTGTTTACTTACCAATTACCCTCATTCAAGTGATGTATTTATCTTATTTAGGGCTGCCTTTGTATGTTTGAATCTTTCATCCCATGCTTATTAATGTGAGGATTGAAAATATAAGTCGAGAAGAATTTTCTCATCCTCCCTTCTTTCCCGCACTTCCTCTCCCCTCCAATCGTTGTGCAGTTTAAGCTTGATTTTTGTCCAATTGAGATTCTACTTTTCAAATATCATTTTCTTGCATTCCAGGATTGGCTATACAAGTCTCAGGCTAAGTCCTTGATAACAATACTGTCTGCCCCTTTTTTAAGAATTAAATCAGTAAGACTATTGTAGAATTTTACTATCTTCCACTTATCTGCAGGCCTGTATCTACTTTAGTCGTGGTCAATATTCAGATTCGTTGGAGTTGCATAAGGTTTGCCTATTTCCCTTTTAAAAAACCGAAGTTTCCAATCTCTTCTTTTGAGATTGCAGGAAGGTGGAGCATTTCCTCTCATGAAAAATTTAAGGTTTTCTATGCTTTCACCTTGAGTTGTGATCCTGTTTTATGTTTCTTTTTCTGTTTCTTGTAATTATATTTTGGTTAGAGGGCCTTGCAAGTGTATCCTCAGTGTCCTGCAGCCGTAAGACTTGGCATAGCACTTAGTCACTACAAATTGGGTCATCTTGAAAAGGCCAAACAAGCATTCCATCGTGTTTTACAGGCAAGTCGCTGCTGACCACTGGATTGCGTATTAATTAAGCTATTGTAAACAACCTCGCACATTTTGCTTGACGTACTGCTGACATTATTGACAATTTATAACTGCAGTTAGATCCAGAAAACGTTGAGGCTCTTGTGGCACTTGGAATTTCAGATTTGCAAACTAATGAAGGTTCATTTTTTGATAAAAACGCATGCATGCTATAAATATATAGATACCTTGAGTGTATATTTGAGGTATGAGTTATGGCAGGCCTGAGATCTAGTTTTACTCAGACAACTTGCCATAATTGGTTTCCATTTTTGTTTGGGGTTCATACGGTCTAGATGCTTGATGATCATTTTAAATATAGCCCCTATCTGGCTCCACTTTTTACAAGATTAAAATCAATTTTTATACCGTTGCAAAGTGCAAGTGGGTCCCAGTGTCCGGCTGTTATTGAGAAAGAACTAAAAAATGAAGGCAGCAACGATACAATAATTGATTAAAATCCGGAAGAAAATTTCTCCCAAACATGCGCATAATGAGTTTATGGAATTCATTTTAACTACAGTTTTTATGAAAATCTTACTTTTTATCTTATGCCATACATCTTTACAGCTAATGGTATTAGGAGTGGAATGGAAAAGATGCAGAGAGCTTTCGAGATATATCCATACTGCGCTATGTCACTGAATTATCTGGCTAATCATTTCTTCTTCACTGGTCAGCATTTCCTAGTTGAGCAACTAACTGAAACTGCACTATCAGCGACGAGTCATGGCCCAACAAAGTCACATTCCTTCTACAATTTAGCCCGATCTTACCATAGCAAGGTTGATATCATCATCCATGTTTGCATCTAGAGCCTCTGTACTTGTTTCTCAATTATTTGGTTGGTCAAAATTATCATCCGTCTCTCCTGCTTAATAAATAACGTTGTTGGTTTTTTGACCTTTATTCTATTTTTGTTGATTATTGGGTTCTTCAGCTGCTGGTTATGGATGTCAACTTGATAAATGACTATGCTTATAGTTATGTATTTTTGGCCCTTCATCTACTTTGGTAATAGATTTAGCCTTTCTCTTGATTTCAGGGAGGCTATGAAAAGGCTGGAAGGTATTATCTGGCGTCTATCCAAGAAGTGAATAAGCCCCAAGAATTTGTATTGCCTTACTATGGTGCGTAGAATTCCTCATTCTTTCCCTAGTTGTTATCATCTGTCAGTCTCAAATACAGGCAGAAAAATATGGCATAGACATAGGACCAGTGGTGGACGCTGGCATTTGAGTTGGGGGCACAATCAAACTTTCCAAAAAGCGAAAAAATTAAAGTATTTGATATCTTATTACAATCATTATCTACACGTTCTCATACTTTGATAACATTCTATATTTACATTATTTTTAATTTTGTCAAATACATTATTTTCAATATATACAATCAAATTATCATTCAACCCTTGATCTCCAATTCGATTGCGCAGGCGATTTTTGACATAAGTCATCGTAGAAAATGCTCTCTCGACTCGAGTAGTAGCCATAGGAAGAACTAATGCTAATATCACAAGCTTGTAAACTAATGAATATACTTCATTTCTATTTTTTACAACCAACTTTTGTATAAGATCACTAAGGTCTAAAGTTATTAACATATCATTCATATTGGGAACATTGATATGGTGAGCTTCGCAGAACGAACAAACCATTCAAAAAAAAAAAAAAAAATTTCCCAACCATCATTCCTCGTGATTTGGAGCTGTGCTTTATATAATCGAACCAATCTTATGGCATGGAAAGTATCCCGATATTTTCTTTGTAATGCTTTCAACAATTCATTTGAAAATTTCCAAGAAATTTCGTTTCAATCGAAACATCTCCAACATCAACGTCCCCAACATCAATTTCATCCCTTTCATTCCTAACATCTCCATCATCATTTTTATCTTGAACATCATTTTCATCCCTTCTATCTCGAACATTTCAATCATTAATATTTTGTTCATCACCAACACTGATTTACGTCTTCATAACTAATACAAAAAATCAATTAAAAATTTAAAACAAACTCAATGCAAATATAAAGTGGCTCCATTATAATCTCCAACAGACAGCAACTCACTGCCCAGTGCAAACCCAGCTCAATCCCCACTCCCCAGCAGCAACATTCATTCCCATAAATTAATAATTCTCAGTCACTCAATCACAGAGTCACTTAATTATGAAACAACCACATAAACATAATCCCCAACAGCTCAATGTTAAACACTAAACCTCAATTGCAGAAGCCCTCAATGTCAATTTTCAACTTACAACAAATATTTCAAACAGTTAGAAGCGGGAAGCCATATTATATCAAACAATCAGACAAGAAAAATGGAATAACGTCAACTATACATAATTTCTTCTGAAGATTCGAAGAATTAGAAGTTTAGGTACTAGGGTTTCACCTTTTGCAGATTGGAACAATAGACCGCCGCATGAACAAGGAAATACCCAAGGCAGCCTTTTGTAAGTCTGTTATTAAAAAAAAAAAAAAATCAATTCTAGAAAGTTAGTGGGTCACGTGCCCCCATTGTGACGCACTCCAAATCCGCCCAATAAAGCTATTTGTACAAAGTTGGGTTACAAAACATGTTGGCAAAATTCAGACCGTTGATTTCAAATGATTTTTAAAATCTATTTTTAAAATGATTGGTGTAGATTTATTTTGTCAACTAACTTTGTAACCAAACTTTGTACATGTAGCATAACTCAAATCCGCCACTGCGCAGGACAAGGTCAATGTTCAGTGGTTTTGCTGTTGATTCACCTTTTCCCCCAACTGTTGAATAATTCAACTTCAATCAGTAAAACTATTGTAAAATCCCATTATCTGCAAGATAACTGTACTATTTAAAATTTTCCTTACTAATTTTATGGCAGTTATATAATTTATAATAGTTAGATTTGTAAAGATAGCAATTCAATCCTTCATATAAATAAGTAAATAACTATGAGTATCAATTTGTATAATCATATTTTGCCTATTGCTCAGATTATGGATGAATTAATACAACTATTGAACACTAAGTCGTGCCTTATTTTCTTTCGTCATCTTCACCAGTAGTATATTAATCTCTTCAAAAAAACACAAAATTGTTGTTGAAGTTGATTGCATGATAGAGTTATTGTTACTACTTAGTGGAGTTGTTGAAATAAACATTGACAACAAGATATCTTTTCCAAAACATATAAAATAACAAGCTAAGCCTTGTGGAAATTCTCTCTCTCCCTTTTTTTTCCTCCGTTGATTCCATCTAAGATACCTTTCTAAGATAACAGTATTGTAGTTACTTATTTATCAAAAGAACAAACTTTATTTTTTGAAAAATCGACTAAGAGCACTCTTGTTTGTGTTTCTATCCCTCTTTTTACAAAGAAGCACCAAATCTAGAGGCTTAAAATGAAGCTCCAAAAACCAATGTGACAATGCCTTATTCTATTGCTATACACTTTTTTATGTATAAACCTCACTGGAGTATTTTCTTGAACTACCCTGTTGAGCGGTTTAAGTTAGATGTCACAAAAGACCAAGTCTTGATAGAGACTACAAAAATTTCCTACACCAGTTTATTAGAGCACAACCACAGTCTTGATAGAGAAGGGTTTGGTGTTCATGAAGCCCTCCTGGATGAGTTGGTAGCGAGAATACATGACACAAATCTGCCAATGAATCAATTTGTTAGAGCAACAAATGGATATATTTAAGGCACAGCAATGGGGATTGTGGATGCCTTTGGAAGCAGTTGGCATGAGGGAGGCGACGATACTGATCAACACGACACAATTGTGGGTGTGGATGGTATCTCTATGGGAAAAGGACTTCGATCTCGAATGACAAATGGATGTTGATTTAGATGAAGATTACAACGGTCCACCAATTTTGATGAGGAGTTCAACATTGAGATCCTCAAGAATTGGTCTGATCTAATCGAACAACAAGGTGGAAGAGATATTCATGCCACATGTTGTTCAAGACAACAGAAAGTATGAATTGGAAGGCGAGTTATTCAAGCGTTCTCCTGGTAATATGCAAATGATACATGGAAAAAAAATTCTGATTTGGCACAAGAAATAACTGCATTCACATCATTGGACTTGGAGGACTTAAGTATCAAGAGACCCGTTTTGAAGACTAAAGAATCTTGACATCCAATGGAGATATTTTGGGATGGTCAAATTGGTCTAATAGCAAAACTAGGTGAAGGCGTGTGCTTGAGGAATTGTTCTTACTTATATTATCCATATGATTGAAATAAATCAAATGGCACATCTGGTTGCAATGATGACTCCAACCTATTCAAAATTCTGAAAAATATCAAGAATGTGTTTTAAGAGAGGGGGAAGTATAATTTGATTTTTTATCTAGATATTCGGACTCTAAGGTTAGAGAACCAAATGGTTTTTTCCCCACCCTTCAAATGAAGTTTCTTAGTTTTTGAGGGATTATGTCTTCATTTGAGAAACCTGTTAATGTTTCAAGGAAGTGGAAGAAATTTGCAATATTGTGACGAATCCTTGAAGAAATCATTTGAGCAGAAATTTTTTTACTCTATTGATATGGGCAATACGTCCTTAAAAGTTGATGTCTTAATTTACTTACGTTTTTAAGTTAATTTTATCTTATTATTGTTGGCCTCTTTTAATAATTCTTAGAAGATGAAGGACCTGAGTGTAATTTTTATTTTAGCTGCAATTAGGTTTCGATGTTGTAAGTGAGAAGGCGATGGTCCCAGAGATTGGATTTTGTTTGATTAATACATATTAAAATTTTGAGAATTCTTCTCCAATTTCGATACAAATGATATTTGTGCGAAAATCAACTTTTCATGATCATGTTTTATTTTTCTTGCCCACTTTTTTATGCTTTGATTGGTATCAAAACTGGAGGTTCTATTTCTAGTAGATGCTGGAGCATTCCCGTGGATAGGTAGATAATGCAAAAGCATGCTTGAAACAGGAGTGCCTAGGGGAGTGAGCTTGCGTAGATTCTATGGCTTGATTCTACGTGATATAGAGAGTATTGCATTAGTGTGAATACTTACGAGGTATATGTTTTGAGAAAAGTGTTCCATCAGTTGCATGCCCAAAAATTAGATTGGTAACAGTTAAAACTATGGTATTTTCTATATAATGCCAATGAAACAATATGTAAAATAGGGTTTTGTTATGTGCAATCCTGGTTTGGACAAGCACGGGATGAATAAAAAAGGTACAAAAGGATTACAATGAATAAGTAAACCATGTAGGTTATGGCCTCTTAAATTGGTGACAATAACAACTTATGATATTTGCTATAAAATGCCTGATGAACCAATTAAATTGGTGGTTCTTCAGCTTTCTGATGGCATCAGTGAACACATTATGCCTAATGTACGTGCAACAGTAGTCATCGTTGGAATACTTTTATTGGGGTTTCTAGCTTAAATTTTTAGCTTTTTCATCTTACAAAACACTATGATGGAGATTCATTTTATGGCGCTCCTAGATATTTGAATAAATGTTGCATGACCTCTATTAATTTACCATGTTTGAATAGACTTTAATTCTGAAGATGGAAGGTCAAATATACATTGAATCCCCTCTCTACAACTCATCATGTATCTGATACAACCCTCTCTGACCTTTTGCATACTTAAGATTTAGCGTCATTTATCTTTTATTTTGTAATGTCCTAAGGTAAGATGGAGCTTTGCCTTTGATGAAAGGCCAACCAATTGCTGATCTGGACCTTGTACAAGTTTCAAACTATACTTCTGAGACTTGCATTCTCATGTCATAATATAATTGAAATTGATCTATTAATTAATATTTGCAAGGGCACTCGTAACTGTACTTTGAGAAAATGGCCTTAAGGAATTGCCGCTCAGGATTCTGTGTCCTATCATCTGCTAAAAATCATAATGATATTACATAAACTTTCTCTGCAAATATTATTCTATATTTGAATGTAGCCAACGCTCTCGCCCATCTAGTATATTCAGTAACGTATAGGAGTTGTATGTTCCTTCCTGCCTGGCGAAACCATAAAATAGATCATTATAAAAGTTTGAGCTGCTAATAAAGTAAGCATGACGTTATGCAGCATTTTTCTGGAAACTGTATTTTGTTTAATTTCTCACTCAGCACCAGTTCCTTGATTAGTTGGGCTAACTTGAAACAGGTTTGGGGCAAGTTCAAATGAAAATGGGAGACCTGAGAAGCGCCTCATCAAACTTCGAGAAAGTCTTGGAGGTGCAGCCTGAAAATTGTGAGACATTGAAGGTGAGCAAGTAACCATTTCAAGAATGTCATATAGTTTGAGCGTTTTCTGCAATTATTTGAACAATGAAAAAACTAAAAAGTTCATTTCCTTCATTTAGGTTCTTGGACACATATATGTTCAACTTGAGCAAAAGGAAAGGGCCAAACAACTTCTGAAGAAAGCTACCAAAGTCAATCCTCAAGATCCCAAGGTAGCTATTATGTTTGTTCTCCAGTTTTATGGTACTCCATCCATCCCATAAAAATAGAATTGCTTTATTTTTTCGTATCCCAAATTATATGCTACTTTTCTTATTGAGAGTATGGTTGATTTATTAGTTTTCTAATATGCGCCTATCTAATGTGTCTTGTTATAAAGAAATATGAATTTCTCATATTTTAATCATTATTTAATATAAAGGTGTATTAGGAAAAATTGTATGTAAAATTGATACTTTCAACTATATTAATTATATTTTCTTAATTTTGAATGAAAATAGAAGCAAATTATGATGTGACGAGATTTAATTGGATCAAAATCTCATCAATCAAATAATTTCCCCATTTACATTTTGATACCTCATCATTATGTAAAATATTATGTAAATAGTTATCTATAAGAAGTAGTACTTTTCTTCTCTTTCTTTTACCATCCAACACCTATAGATGACTCTAGACCTAAAATAAGTGCTATCTGAAAGATGGAAAATTCATTAATGAAATATAAATTACAGAATGATAGAGTCAATATATAGCTTAAAACAATTTAGACAAGTTGTAAAATATGAGTTTCCAAATACCTCAGCTTGACCCTTCAACTATCTTTATGGAACATAAATAATATAACTTGTATTAAAGGTGTAAAATATAAAAAATTTATATTTACGGGAATAAGTATGCAATCAAACTGAAACAATTTCTCTCTAATATGAATATTGAACCAAAGTATGAGGTGATGGTGATTGTGTACAATAGCAATCTGTAATTTAGTTGAGCCACTTAACCTCATCTATTAGGAAAACATAGTTGCTTCATCATATGAAATGGCTATCCTTGAACTATGTTCTGTTAAAATTTGTGGTTCTATCTTAAAAGGTTAACCTTATTAAGAGGAGTAACCCAAATTCTTATAATTTGGTCTATGTTTTTATCTTTATTCGATGTGAAATTTTATCCCTTAACATGCCCCCACAAGATAATGGCTTGTTTGAGTAGAACAATCTTGAAATCCATGTGCTCAATTTTTGTTGAGTCTTGATCGGATTGAATTGCTCGTTGGAGCTTAATGTGTTCTGATACCATGTTAAAATTTGGGGTTCCATCTTAAAAGAACAACCTTATTAGGAGGAGTAGTTCAAACTCTTATAAATTGATATGTTTTCATCTTTATTCGATGTAGAATTTTATCCTTTAACATGTTCTTCAGTTTCAATTGGATTTTCTTTCAAGTGCTAATAAAAATGAGCTTGGATGCTTTTGTGTTTGCATTTGGTTGGTTATTATAATTTCTAAGAGATGCAATATTTATGTTAGAAACAAACTAAGTTTCTGGTTTTATGTTTTTATTCTTTTATTTATGTGGCCAATGTTTGAGCCTCGTTATCTAAAAACTCATTTTTTTCTTAAACTCCTTTTCAAGCTTACATTCTGCAAATAACATATTTTGCACGTAAATTTAAAACTTTCTTACTTTTTACTACATATTCTCCAAAAGTCACTATTACAAAACTTATTTTCAACAAAAAATGGGCTCAAACGTAGGCTTAATAACAACTTTCATCTATTTGAATTACTGCATATACGTTTTTTATAGATTAGTAATTATTACTTAGGCTCATTGCTGCTACTTGTACAATTGATACTCATTTAATTACTATAATATTATGATTATTATCTAATAATTTTGGTGATTTTGTTACTTTTACAAGGGCTTCCTTCATAAAATAGTGCTCTATGATTATAATATTGGATCCAAAGTGTTTGTATACATTGGGAAGAAGAATGCCCAACCTTAAGAAATGAGAATTTTGTTTGGATCAAACTTTAGAATGCACTATTCAGTGTTACGCTTACTTCTATGCTCTAATTATATTGAGATTGTGTTCCTTACTTTTGTCTTCAACAAGAAATTCTGAAACGAAAATGACAATGAGTGTCTTCAACAAGAAATTCATTATGTACCTTTTTTTTATGTACAAGTAACATAATCCTATCAAGAAATTAGACTAGGATTGGGACTTAAAATAATTTAAGTTGGATACCTATATGGCTAGATCAGGATTTGTATGTAACAGGAAAAAAAATTATTTCTAATTTAAATCATAAAATAATTTTCCAAGCCAAAAATGGAAAGAAAACATATGGTCAAAAACCCTTTATCGTTATCTGACATCTTCAGTGCAACCCATGAATTTTTTAATGAGTTACAGAGGAATAATTAGGATATGATGATTTTACCTCACACTGTATTGACCTCTATGCAAACCTGTTAAACAGAAGGAGTCATATTATTAGATGTCAAAATAAATTACAAAGAGACTAAAAATAAAGTACAAAACCATGGATATTGTAACCATAATAAAAGAGACGGCGAAACTATCTGTAACAAAGAAACTACATTACTATAATATCCTAAAACGACATGCATCTTGCAGGCATTTCTTGATCTGGGAGAGCTGCTAATTTCAACAGACGAATGTGCTGCTTTAGATGCCTTTGAAACCGTAAGGACCTTCCAACATTTAATATATTTTGGTCAATTTCTGATGAGTAAAACTTCTGGCATTTTGAGTAAATCTTTTCGTTTATACCCTGGGTTTGATTTATTTATTCTTACCTGATGTCGCTCTTGTACCATAAACATTTAATATTGGTTTCATGTTGTTACTACTGCAAGTGAGAAACCTGAAACATTTTAAAATTTTAATGGCTTTCTGCTTGAAACTTGTTAATTTCTAATCAAGATTCCACGTAAATCTGTTGGCTGAGATTGCAGCTTCTGGTATTACAGTGCTAGTTTCATGCGTATGAAACTAGAGAAAAAATTATACTGCACAGGTTTCATGTGTATGAAACTAGTGCAATATGACTACTTTAATATGAAAACAGGAGAAATCACCATAGCAGATTGCCTGCAGTAGAAACAAAGTAAAAAAACAGTGGAACCAGAGTTTAATGAGAGAATAGAGATGAACAGAAGCTTTCTTTTTCTTCAAGATTTCCTTCACTATTTTTTCATTACACAATTTAGGGCATACAAAGCTATTTATACAGACTCCAAACAGACTACAAAATTACAATTTTAGCCCTCATTTGTTTGACACATACTTTGACTTTCTACAATAAAACACATTACACAATAACAGAATCTTTCTATGTTACCAAATACACTATCAAAGAAATACTGAAGTGTCTGCTTTGAAAGAAATTCTCTTGCCTTATTTCTAACTCACTCTCAGAAACTGCATTAGACATCTCTATGTTCTTTTTCCATTTATGGGAGGGTTGGAGAAGGTTGCTGATATAATTTACTCTAGCTTTGTCTTCTCAGAGAGTTCAACCACTGCACGTCAGTGCTTCCTCTTATTACTGTCATTTTGTTGTTTTGGACAGGCTCATAATCTTCTGAAAATGGGGAATGAGGAAGTGCCAATAGAGCTTCTCAATAATATTGGGGTTCTCCATTTTGAAAGGGGAGAGTTTGAGGTATTTAAATGTCTATAAGATAACTCCTTGAGTTTCATATAATTCGATACTGGTAAACGTTACCAAGAGTAACCATAATTCCTCGTTTAATTACCAGCTTGCTCGTGAAATGTTTATGGAAGCTCTGGGAGATGGCGTGTGGAGTAACTTCATTGATTCTAAAACACAATCCAGTTTTAAAATTGTGGCACAATCCAATTTATTTAATAGAGCACAATATCCAACTGGTATCAGCTCATCTCTCCGTCAACACACGGAGTTGCGACTATTTCATCAATTGGAGGAACAGGGTATATCTGTGGAACTTCCTTGGGATAAAGTTTCATCACTATTTAACTTAGCCAGAGTATTGGAGAAGATGCATGACAGTGAAGCTGCTAGCATTTTATACCATCTCATATTATTTAAGGTGAGTGCCATTGTCCATAGATATTATTGGCAATATATTTATGGAAATGAAGGTGAATGAGATTGAAAAACGTAAGTTCGACCTTAACAACACCAAGAGGGTGAATAGGTGTAATACGCGGAATTAAAATCTTATTAACTTATTAGCAACAAGCCACCAATTAATTATCTCTAGATGGTTAATCATGCAATCAATTTAATCCTAAGTTTAAATATCATAGATCATACATTCATAATATAAAGGAGTAAACGAACAACGGTATGATCACAGAGAAACCCAACTCGGAAAAACTCCGGGCGCTTTGTAGTCAATCCACTATAAACAATTCAAGACTTACAATCTACCAAACTAGATGAAGACACGTACTATCTGATCTCCTGACTGCAATTTTGACAGCTCTCCTGAATTCTATACTCCCCTGCACCTATTCCAGCTGCAATAACCAACGGTCTCTTGGAACTCCACTATCCTGCAACAGCCTCTAGCTTAGTAGAATCGCCTATCTCCTATGGATAATGAAGAACAACCTGTTCTTCACAGACTGGAACTCCAGTCGCCTTCCTCGATCATCAGCACCTCTGACAGATATGTAGAAAGTTTTATTTTTGGTATTTGGATTAAGAATATGACGTTTTTCTCACAACCAAGAACGATTCTCAAATAAACATGAAAGTTGAAAGCTCCAAATATTTAAGAATGTGAAAGGACAGTGTTTGCTCAATGTTCAATCTTACATGTTTCTTGTTCTGTGACTTTAGAATATAAATAGGTAGGGTAAAAAACATATGGGTAGGGAAAAAAAGCCTTTAAAAATAAAAAATTCTTGCATAACTCTGTCGCTCTAGCGAGGGCTCAGCGATGGTCGAACGACAGGTTGTCGCTCGAGAGAAGGAGGGGCGACAGTCTAGCGATGCAGTTTCTATTTTTGTAGCTCGAGTCAACCCTTGGCGACAGTCTCGCGAAAATCCGTGCAGGTTTTCTCCTTGTTCCAAACTCGAAACTCTAGACCTATTTGACTAACTTTTAAACAAATTGCACATTATTCCTTGAACTTTTACATCCTATCAAATTAAGTCATTTTGTCCACAGAATTTGCCAATTACAAAATCAGCTATAACCTTACAGATATGATTTAGGATTTGATCCTTTCCTATGGAAACATAAGTATGCAGTATCACTTAGTTTTCCTACAAGTTCTTTTGTTTAAATGCCAATCATCCTGTCATTCTGATTGGTAAATTATACTGCAAAACTGACCGATCCGTTGCTATATTATTGAAATTATTCTTTTAAGATTTTGAATTTTTGACCTGATTGAAGGATATAACTCTGTGTACTCTTCTAGACTTGATTCTGAATTTGTTTGGGTGGTATGTTTTTCTCCTTGGAATATTTTCTGACTTTTGTTATTATTTTCAGTATCCGGACTACACAGATGCTTGCCTGAGGCTTGCTTCCATCGCAAGAGCTCAAAATAATATTCAACTAAGTTTGAAACTGGTTGTTATATCCCTTCTAAAAACCTCCCCAAGTTATTCTTCATTTTCTCATACATGTTTATGCCTTTATGCTTTTGTTCATGCAAAGATGTTTTTGTTCTTAGATTGGTGATGCTCTCAAAGTGGATGAAAAATGCCCAGATGCTTTGTTAATGCTTGGTGACTTGAAGCTCAAGAGTGACTACTGGGTCAGGGCAAAAGATATATTCCTGAGAGCCAAGGAGGCAACTGATTGGCAAGATTCTTATGCTACAGTTTGTCTGGTGTGTGCCAAATTAAATATTCTTCCACTTTTAAGATCTCTTGATTATTTATTAGCAATAAAAAAATATATTCCCAACTTGTTGAAAGTGCGTTTTCGCTATTTTCTTATTAAACCTTTATGCTGTACGGATCTGAAGAAAATTAGTTATGTCATGTATGTACCGAAGTTTATATAGTCATTGTTGCTTCTAATAAAATTTGTGAAACTTATGCGTTTTCTTTGATATCTGCAAGGGAAATTGGAATTTCGAAGCTGCAAATCACAATGAGGAAAAAGACAGTAAGTTGGAAGCCACACATTATCAGAAGGCAAAGGGACTCTACACTAAAGTATGGCACATTATCTTGGAAACCACTATGTTGAATAGCTAGTCCTTTTCCCAATTTCTTTTCTTTTTTTTTTTTGGCAGTGCATATGATAATGTTAGACTTGTTAGAGTTTAGCTCATAGTATAACCAGAGAAGTTCTCCTAGATTGTTTTATACTCACGTAGGTGGCGTGGTTGGCATTTTTTCATCATTATCTATTTCTAATTTCAATTTTAAGATACTCCATGTACCAGGTTCTGTTACAGCAACCTGATAACCTGTATGCAGCAAATGGTGCTGGAATGGTCTTTGCTGAAAAAGGTCATTTTGATGTGGCTATGGAGCTATTTACACAGGTCTGATGAACTTGTTATGTGTTATTCATGATTGAGAGAAAGGTTTTACACTTGTTTTGAGTGTCTTATGCTCTATCTCTGCAGGTTCAAGAAGCTGTAAGTGGAAGTTCTAATGTCCAGATGCCAGATATCTGGATCAATCTGGCGCATGTTCACTTTGCTCAAGGCAATTTTGCATTGGCTGTGAAAATGGTTTGTTTGTGATTTCTTTCATATCTATTTCTCAGATGAATATAAACTGTCTTAATTTCGTATATATTTTGAAATCTGATTACGTTTTGCAGTACCAAAACTGTTTGCAGAAGTTCTATTATAATACTGAGAGTGAGTTGCTTCTCTACATAGCACGTACACATTATGAAGCTGAACAATGGAAAGACTGCAAAAAGTCTTTACTAAGAGCCATCCACTTGTCCCCTTCAAATTACACATTTAGATTTAATGTAGGAGTTGCGATGCAGAAGTTCTCCTCTTCGACTCTTCAAAAGACAAAAAGGAGTGTGGATGAGGTTCGTATCTTTTAGCTTGATTTGTTTTTTTTTTTTTTTTTTTTTAATAATATGAAAAGAAAATGAATCAACA